AATCTTTATTTTCAAATATTATCAAAAAAATTTTTATTTAAATATTTTAAATTTTAAAAAAAGTAAATCATAAGCAATTTTATAGCAATTTTCCAGGCAAATTTGCCTGGAATTGCTTATAGTTTAAAAGATAACTTTTATTTGGTTTAACTTCTTTTATATATATAAAAGCATGTTTTAAACAGAAAACTTGAGTAAAATTATATTTATGCTTATTTTTTTTATATATATATTAATTATTTTCTTAATACACATATAGGTCTTGGTTTATACAAGGGAATGTTTCAACAAATTTATAAAATAGATACTAAATTTTACAAAAGTATCTACAATAATGAAGCCTCATGCAGACAGATGACAACACAACTAATTCATTATAAAAAGAATGATTATCTATTTAATTTTAAATATGATTTTTCAAAATCACCTAGTCTATAGTGGAATATAATTGAAGATAAAAGTAATGATCTTCCAAATCTTGCTCAAATTATTTTTTTAATTATGCTTTAGCAAGCAAGTTGTAAGTGTAATTTTTTATTTTAAGGTGGCTATATGGCATGTATCATTTATGATTATCTCCTGAATAACTTGAAAACATGGCCAAAATTCACTCTTTTTATATTTCCAACTCTAAAAATAAACTTCAATTTTATAGAAAAGAGTTATCAGAAGATGGGTTACGTGATAGTGCATTGGAACTAACAACCTATGCTAATATAGAAAATAATAATAATGTGGCTTTAAAACAAAATAATATTTTAGAATTATTTCAATTTTTAAATAGTGAAAGATTAGAAATTAGATCAATGGTTGATTTGTTATATGAAAGTTTTGGTGGACAAGAAAATATAGAAGTGTCTTATTCAGTAAAACAAGAAAGCAGTAATATGGACTTTGATCCTATAGCAATTGTAAAAAGTGAACTTTGATTAGCAAATATGTTATAAGCATATTATAATATATGTTCTATTTTTATAAAAGGTATGCTGTTTTTAGTTGATATATATGACTTTATTCTATTATTTATAAGCATTAAGCTTCTTTAATAGTGATTTATTTTTTTAGCAAGATATCAACTAAATACTATGGCAAATTTTGAACTCAGTTATTTTGGGCTTACGCTTTTTTTTATCATATTCGTAGTTATGCATAGCTCGCGGACTGAACCACGGCTGTATATTGAATTTAAATAGGCATTTAAATAATGTCATTTTACAATTTCTTTGTTTTTTTTAAAAAAAAACAAATTTATTTATTATTACTTTTAGGTTTTATTATTTGAAAATTACATTATTTTACATTTTTATTTATAGAATTTTATCAGCTTTCTCTGAATAAAATATAAGTAGTAAAATAGATTTGTGGTCCTTATTATGTATTTTTTTTAATTAGGTTGTCAGTGCTATTTTTTATTTTGTATAAATTCTAAGTCTTAAATAATAACAAAACACAGCGTTTTTATATGTAATTAGCCAATCAAATAATGTTACATGTTGAAAGTTTTGACTAGTTTCAAATATAGTTTGGGTTTCGACAAAATGCAAAATTCAGTAAAACCCTTTGGGATTCTACCTAAATCCCAAACTACCAGGTTTGGTTTACATCAATACTCTGGGCTTGTCAGAAAATAGCATATGAGAACTATTTCTAAATGACAAGTGCTAGCCTCCATGATAAGTGATAAACTCTGAGGAAGTTAGCAAGTAGCATATGAGAACTATCTCTAAATAACAACTGCCAAGTTATGGAGCTTAAAGACTATTTCCCAAACTGTTTCTACCTTTACAGACACTTGTATTTTTTAAGAATTTTTGGATTTTTGTAGTAAAAGTGATCATCAGAAAAAGTATATATTTTATATTTTTGAATACTAAATATTTTATTTTTATTACAACTAATTATTTTAATATAATATTTAAAAAATAATAAATAAAATAACCAAAAATAAAATTAAACCAAAATTATTAAAGATAATACCAAATATTTTATTTTATTATAATTACACTGTTTGTTTTACAAAAAAAAAATGTAATTATATAGGTTTTTTTTAATAAATATATTGCCAATAATTGTTCAAAAAATAATGCTTATAAAAAGAGTAACTATATAGGAGATAACTGTAGAGGAAAATAGCTATAATTATTTTTACTATAGTGTTTAAAAAATAAATAAACAAAATTAAAAATAAACTAAAAATAAAATAAACAATAACTGGTCATGAACTCTTCCTAACGATCATCTGGACCAAAATTTTCTGTTAAAGAAAAACCAGAACTACTTGTTGAAGAGTCGTGGCCTATACAGTGGTTTGTCTAGAGGTCAACTATACTCTCGGGGACTCCTCTAAAAAAGGACATTCGGCATGCAAGCTAGGAGCGTTATTATACAAGATAACTGGCAGGTGGTGCCCTTGTATAAAAAATCTTGGTGGAGTATGGGTGGGGAGGCCCAACTCTGTCAATAAAGCTGTTTGGTCGTTACTTCAATAAAGAACACAGGGGAAACAACAAAAAGATCTGCTCTTTCAACACACTCGTTTAAAAATTTTGAAAGTACTTGCAACTCTCTCCTCGCATTTTTTCCTTCTGTCGGTTTTTCAAAAATTTTTTCCTCAAAAGTGGGGATTTGGCTTACCCCCTCCAAAATATCGACATTGTTTACATCCCAAATCCGGAAAGCCGAGTAGATTACAACCAAGTGTTTGACGGATACGGTGCTACTAATTTGGATAGGTCCCGAGTTCGAGGTCAGAACCAAATATTCCAGAGTCGGTTATATGGTCGCAAAGAATTAGTAGTAGCAATACACCACTTGAACAGTTTATCGCTCATTACCCAAACTATAGCACTTTCAAGCAACAAATCAGATACAAAAGGATACTCTATCTAGAGCAACTCTGCACAGCTGACAATTAGACCTTACTAGAATGGGCACACCTCTCTCCTAGAATATTTCACCTCCCAAAGGGCAAAAAACCACTATGGTTTTCATATCTAGAAGATATCTTGATAGCAGACACTCTTCACTATACCATACATACACACTTTCAACCTAAAGAAATCAATCCTTTCGCTTATTACACCAATCTTATAAACAAGGCATACAAACCTTGGCTACTTACCTATCAGCAAAGCAATATTATTATTAGTCAAATATGAAGGAAATTTTCTAGCACCAACTCTATATCAATCACTCACTAGGTGCATAATATCAACACAGCTCAACAAGAAGAATATCCACTTCCACCTATTACATATTCACCATGCCTAGGATGCGACCTTAACTCTAATAGAATCCCAAATCACTGCACCCTTGAGGTCTCTTCTATTCTGTCTACTCAGTTCTTAGGCAGGAAAATAGCAGGCAAACATCTTAAACTCAATGCCAACTATATAGACCTTATCTATTCTACAGCCATTAAGCACCCCCTCCATCTATCTTTACCCCCCACATCTAGACCTACCTACTAATTATATTTTCCAAAATAGTGAAGCTTTCCAAAAGCTTATTCAAATTACATTAAATAACTGCTCCTATAGCATGCTCACTTTCTATACAGATGGATTAGTAATAAGCATAGGTACAGACTAATGCTCAATGGGCATAGGCTGGGTTCAAGTTTAAAATAACCAATCTGTACAAGAATTCTCAGCAGAAATCCAAAGCTGGCCCTCCTTATACAAGGCTGAACTCATGGCAATCTTATCAGCAATTGTAACAGCTCCACAAAATGCGATAGTAGATATCTACACAGACTCTCAATCAGTCATAGCTAAATACAACAGCCTACTACAAACTCCCAGCTACATGCCCAAGTATACCAAATGCAACTACTGGCCTATATGGCAAACAATCCTTGGCTTTATTAAATTTTACAAAATACAACAAAGTTACAGCACACTCCAATAACAAATTTAACAACCTGGCAGACTCACTCACTAAGCAGCATTCCCCAACATATATCCTTCTTTTAGCTCACAACAATATCTACAACTCACACCCTATTCTTATATGGAAGAAGTACTCAATCGAATGCTATAGTAGACATTTTATTAAAGATATATGTTGAGCACAAATTATAGCCATGTGGTCTTCACAAAAACGGAACATGGAATGGGCAAACTTCATAGACAAAATCGACTGGCAAGCCACTTGGCTTTATCTTAATAACAACCAAAAAGCCTCACATAGCTATACTAGTCTCAAACTCAATCATACAAAAGCATTTAAAATAAAAATACTCTTAACATGTCTTCCTACCTACTATCATTTTTATACAACTTCATACAAACACTTTCACTCCTCTAATTGTTTCAACTGTAACAACCCAGTTACACCCACACAGTGGCTTATATGCCTACAATCTAATACTCTCAACTATATAATACTTTCATCTATACCTGAAGTACTTCGTAAAACACTTCCTACACAATCAACTTCTACATATGATACTCTGACCAACATGCTCTACTCACATCCCACATTTAATTCATCTTAACCTACTAACAACTTTTACCTCATTACGACTTTACAGGGCCTTATCCTAGTTCTACTAATACAAGCTCTTCAATCTGAGGAGGTATCGTATAAAGAAACATCCCAAATAGTAATAAAAATCCTACTACACATAACTGATAGCATTTATAAGCAAATATGGAAGCCTTATGCTGCCAAGCTAGCCTTATATAAAAAATAGCACAAAGTATTCACAAGATCTTCAAGCAAACCCCCTCCTAATAGAAGGCAACCAACCTTGAAACGAAACAGAAAAACATATACTTATAGCTGCCTGTGCAGACAACCAGACCAAGTTTATAAAGAAAGCGATACATGCCCACCAGTTGGGTTAGCTACAAAAAAGTTTAATAGCTGAAGCTCTATATGGGTTTCTTCCAGTAAACCCATTAACTCTATACTACCCTTGAAAAGCTAGGTGAGTCTTGACCACTCTAGTAGGTTTAGGTTGCAGATAAATTTTTATTAGTCTGAGCTCTTACTCTTGCATGTAATTTATATGTATTTGTATTAGTACAAAT